GACACTGTTCTTTTCCAACTGTGACTGTTCTTTTCCCCCTGAGTCTGTGCTTTTCCCCCTGTGACTGTGCTTTTCCACCTGTGACTGTGCTTTTCCACCTGAGACTGTGCTTTTCCACCTGTGACTGTGCTTTTCCACCTGAGACACTGTGCTTTTCCACCTGAGACACTGTGCTTTTCCACCTGAGACTGTGCTTTTCCACCTGAGACACTGTGCTTTTCCACCTGTAACTGTGCTTTGCATGCGGTGTGCGACATAAAGAAATTACATTTATCAAGAAATGCTTTATAAATGCAGGTAAATGCCCCAAGGTTAATAACATGGGCTTTAAATAAATTTTGACTTGTAGTGAAAATGTAGGTCAGTTGAACCTTCTGAATTCAGAATAATGACTTTTCTGCTGTTCTAATGTAAATATTGCATGGAAACTGCACCTGAATATTGTATAAGTCATAATGAGTCATGCTGTATATAGTCTTTTCACATTGCATTTTCACTAGTGCACTAAAAACAATTTAGGCCTAAATTCAAGATATATGCATTTGAATCGCATATAATATTTCCATCAGTTTGAATTACACAGTATTACAATAAACAAACTCATAACACATTTGTCAGTCAAATGATTTTTCATAAAAAGTCATAGTTTATTATTAACTAAAATATATTTATTTTATTGAAATAATCATATTTTTTTTAATGCATGTATTTATTTGCTTAGAATCAGCATAAATATGTTCATTGTCAAATTTATTTTAATTATTTTAATTATTTTGAACATTAAAATATGGCTGGAACAAGCAATATTCAATTAGTTAAAATGTATTCATGATAAATAAACCTGGTAATTATACATTTAAAATACATTCAATAGGCCTGTTATTTTATTTTATTATTTTATATTATTTAATTTATTTATTTATTTTGAGTGTCACATTTTTGGCCCACTCTCACTGTACATATATATTAAATTATATATGTATATTATATATAGAGTAAATTAAAATCTCTTAATTTTGATCACAAATCATGAAACGCCAAAAGATTATTTTTATATAATACAAACGCTGTAAATAGCAGTTAGACCATTTGCCAGAGTAAACGTGCATATAATCTCCAGCAGGTGGCAGGTTTAGCCTTCTAAATGACATTTTCTTGGAGCAGTTAAAGCCCTACACAGGCCTCATTACAGTCTACTGTGGCAGCCATTAAAATAGTTCAGTTTAGTTTTTAATGGCAAAGAGATTGTTTTTTTGTGGACTAAATACAATGGAAACTTTGTAAACTATTGAAATCTTATGCCCAAAACACACCTTAAAGTGATAGTTCATCCAAAAA